TTTTATTAACAGAATTTTCATTCTAATATTACTAGCAACTCTATTAACTTTTGAGACATTGAGATAAAATATTTACAATGTCCATCTTTATGATATAATTTATCTTAATGTTAAATTCCGTTAAGATTCATTCAGCCATTTAGCCTTGAAAAAGTATGAGTAACAAGCTGACGGATTGCATCCGTAGGTAATATTATCTACGGGTAATCAAAATATAAAGTGCGTGCTATGATCTCTTTTATCCCAAATATTGCATAAAGACCTAATATCTCGACGAATGCGTTAATCCGAGTGGTAAAAAAACTAACAATCAAACTTTCACCTTCATAACATCAGTGAGAATTTGCTTAGTCATTTGGCATGAAATCTAGCATACGTATGACAAGGTCATTATCCATCCTGGTCAATTAAAATACATCTACCGGTTACGATGACACACCTACTCGTATGGTTAAATAATTTTAACGACTTTTCTGCTGTTTTTTATATAACTGGAATACAAATTTGCCGATGGCCTACCATATGATAAATGGTAACTCTGGTCGAAATACATGAACAACTATAAGGACATCACGTCATCATGTGACACCCGTGGTACCATACATGTGGTTGTTATTCCTGAGGATTAAGATGTTTTGACTCATTATTCTGTAATTTCACGGACTTATATCTTTGTAGCGACCTATTAGATCTAGATCTGTAAGGATGAATATGTACTTAGTAAGTAAGTAGTATATAAGGATTGTTTATTATAATAAAACGAGACAGTATACATTCGAACATCGTACCTATCATTACCTAGCAGAGTTCCCTGAGACTAAAGTATCACACAGGAGTTGGCATATCGACGTAATAAGTTCTTCCGCGGGTTTGGAATACCCCTCTGCACTTGCTCCCGTTTTCATTCATTTCACTCCAATTTAATCAATTAATGACAATATATTAGAATAAAAATCAAAGTAAAATGAAACTTACTATATATTACTATATACTGTAATATATATTTTAATATGGTACTAAATTTATACATAATTAATTCAATTTATATATATATAGGTACATACATTTGTTAGCTTTTAAAATGATAGTATCTAAAGATATATAACTGTTTGTCCTCTATGACCTAACTATACTACCAATGACTAACATTGGAAAACAGGTTTTTTTAATATAATCCTCCTCCAAATCCTCTCATCATCCTCTAAAAAGAATCTTTGGAAATTCTTGCCGGGACCGTATATTCTCAAAATTCGCAAACATGATCTGGTGATAAACAACTGGTTATAAAAAAAATAATAGCTCCTGTAGTTAAATATGGAATATAATAACAAATTATTTAAGACTATTTGTCGAAAAAACACTAAAAAACGTTCTAGTAATAAGACGGCAGGTATTTAAAATATTTAGTTAGTTTTTTCTTAAATACTCTTGACCCATTGTTTACAATAAAAAATCGCGATTATTTAACATCAACATACCATATATGCATACCACGTATTTTATAATAAATATTATATATATGTTGTACATATGTTGTTTACTTTATTTACATTTTTTGATTCCGTATTTCATTCCCAGTATAAACCTAATAGAATTATTTGCATATCTCACAAAGTTGTATGATCAAACGTCATTTATGATGATATGTCTATAATTCTTACAAAAGTAGCAAATGGTAATTTGTTCGTATTTGCCTATACACGCGACAGGCGTTAAATGCCAAATATCGAGCTACGTTGTTATTCTGCGTAACTGATACGTACATTAGTGATTATAACATATTTCATCTCATATTATATCACAGGTAACATTAATTATATTGAACCTTTTCATTCTACATATAAAACATGCATATAATCCATCTGATGATAAACGTTTACCGTAACCTTTTTTCGAACTATTGTAATGCCGTAGCTGGCTCTAAACATTTAGCGCACAAAAAAAGGGTCAGAGATGAGGGTTCAGAGGGCACTCCAAACGCAAAAATGAACTAATGGACCAGCAAAAGATCAACTCCTGCCTACGTAAACGACTTCCATCTGAATAGACAGTCACTAAGGGTTCGTACCACGGCTCAGGCCATCGTAATGAGGATCTCCGTTTAAATGAAACAGGGCATCGATCGGAGGGATGGACGCCTGAGACACTGGAAATGTCACACTTTTAAGAATCATTAATATAAAAAGAATCTTTTCCATTGCATTCACCGAGGACTCGCATTAGCAAAGCAAACCTGATTTACGAGTAAGCATTAACGTGCGTAGTACCTATATGGCATACTTCATAACATTTTAAGTAAACAATCGCATAGATAAAAATAATAACTTTAAATAAACTTTATTAATTACTTTAACTAACTTTTCATTTTATTTATTTTTCCATCTTTTTATACCATTTTAAAAACAACTTTACGAGTATTCTCTATATGAAAATGGTACAAATGGATGGAAAAACTTTCCTAAGGAGACTCCTCCTTGAGAAAGGTTTTCCTCGTGGCCTCTTATCAAAATTTCAGATTGGACAAAATTACCGAATACCTGCTTTCATTCGAATAGGTTTCGTTAAGTAAAATAAATGATAAAGAATGCAGTGTACATGAAAAAGTGTAAAGAAATGGTTTGATAGAAATTACTTAAAGTAGGTATAAAAATCAGTGTACACATAGAAACATTTAGTTAGACATATCTAATATGTAATATTATTTGTTCAAATAACAGTAATTAATAATAATCATATACATACAGGGTTTATTCGTGAAAATTTAACGAAACTTCTACCTTCATTTCTAATTAAATGTTTTATCCCGTTTTCTTAGACTACACTATCATTTTGAATTAAAACGATGTTTTCTACGACAAGTAACTATTGCTATTAATTATTATGATTAAACTCAATCAAGCTCAAATCAGTCGTTCGTATTACCGATAACATAATATGTATTACAGATGATTTGTCTAATATTTATATTAGAGCATGAAGAGATTTATTCGAATATCGCAAAATTCAACAGTCTAATAAGGTTCGCATAGCACAGATTATATTTTATTTATTCGCGCGTTTACTGTTGAGGCAAACATTAGAAATAAAGAAAATATTAAATTATGATTTTAAAAAAAATCCATAATTTAAAATAAATACTGTGATATGTATATTATGTACATTCTCTGCAATTAGGGTAAGAATCTATAGCTAAGCCAGACCAATTATTTTTGTATGTCTGTAGCCATAAATTAATATTTGGTATAATTAATTATATTTATGTAAAGATATTATGTAATTCCTTAAATTTGGCTGTTACGTAAATGGAATATTTTAACTATGTAATTGTAAGGTTGTACATGACAATAATTTGTAAATCAGGTATGCATGATGTAGTATATTGATGGCCTAAGTAGTCTAGAGGTTTAGAAGACCGCCTTACTTCTGATAGTCACAGATTCGATTCCTCGCTCATTACAAACATTTATGTTCATGAGTATGATTGTTTGTATTGGACTGAGAATATCCTATACGTTATCTAAGATAAAAATGTTATTTTTTTTATAAGTTGTCTATTACCCATAATACAAACTCCACTTCCTTTGGGACGAGATGGCGTTGTCTGAATTGTACTGGGTTAGTATTATTTATTAAAGCTTTAGGTATAATTCAAAATAGATCAATTATGGACCCTGTTGGGCACAGCAAGCGAAAACGAATAGAGAAGGACGAATTCATTTTTGTAAAATTAATAATAACATCTAATTCACGTGATTAATAATAAATTTAAATTATATCTATTTAATTAATTAAATTATTATTATTCTACTTCGTCCAATTTAAATTGTTATTAGGTGTGTAATTGTTTTAAGATTTAGCAGACCTTGTATGAAGACGTTTGAGTTGGTAACTACATCTGACTATTGATTAAAAGGGTATAATATTATTGCGGTAGTGAAATCGCAGGGTATGAAGGTATAACAACTTAATCCTTACACATGGCAAAACATGATCGATACCAAAAACGTCAAAATATATTTTGAGACATGTGCGATATTGTTTCTGCATACATGTAATGCTTACCGCAGTAACAGGCAATCAACATGTTTGTCATTCCATTAGCACAAAAATATGTGAAAAATTTGCGGTCGTAGCATCAAAACCGGTTCAGCATAATGTGAAATCTTTTTTAACACCTTCAGTATTAGATTGTTTATCTTACAGTAGATATTTTTCAATTTACATCAATACGTAATTTATTATTAATGCGCATTATGTATCGAAGTGTTACGATGCATTACGCTATTTTATCTCATATTATTAAACAATCGAGGGTAGATTGTGCAATTTAATTATATTTAAAGTAATGGCATATTTCATATCTGCCATTTTTCTATTTTAACATGAATTTATTAATTATAGGTACTCTAGTAATTCTGATTCTGTCTTAATAATAGGACATATTTAAAAACATTTATAAATAAGATTGAATGTTCAGATGTTTTCATTATGCTTTATTGTCTAAAGAAATAAATGTTTGTTACACAGATACTAAATTCACTATTATATAAATATTACAACTTTATTTTTTTATATTTAGGGTGGTAAACGACCTGACAATCTTTTCAATGGGTAGTAGCCTGCTATTGCTCACAAACGCATTATAGGAATATGGACGTTCTCTGCAGTTATATTGTGGTACAAGGGGAAAAATTATAAGGCATAAACATGTCATCGTGTGGACGAAATCATCAAGATACGTGATGATGGTGATAAGGAGATGTAAATTATATATTATAGAATCATTTGACAGATATATTCTTTAATGACACATAGTATATCCCAATTCATAGGAATAAAACAACGAAAATGTAGTAAAATTTTCCCGATTTTTAAGTCTAGACAGTAGTAATACAACATACAAACATTTGAAATTTCATTATTATTGTAAGCAAAATAACATATATCTATACAAATAAAATGTTCTTTTAAACTACTTAAATATGTAAATGAAAACTTACCGCAAAACCAAGTTAGGTAACAATAGCAAACAGCACAATAAACTAACTACTTAACTTACTAAACAAACTTTGGGAATTTCGAAAAATTTTGACGACTGTATTGCCCAGATTGCTTAGGACCGCGCGGCGACTGAGCACCGGCGCGTTGCAATAGCGAATGGCAATGCAACGCGGTGTTCTGATAAATTCGTCTCGTGTACTCTTAATTTTAACCTGTACAATGGTCGCAGGGCTCTAACGACCCATTTGTTAATTAACATAATTACACTATACTCCCTGTACTTTCTGGAAAATACTATTGCCTTAATTTATAAAACAAAATGTGTCAATTGTTATACTTTCTAGTATTATAAATGGGCTATAATACTGGAAAGTAAAAATTTACTTATAAAAAAAATAAATATTCTTATTGTAATATAAAGTAATATTACGAAGAGAGTATTTATTTTTTCTTATGTGAAATCAAATTATCTTTATTTATGTAGCTTGTAAATAAAACAACATACAGATCAATTTTTAGTTTATCATATATTGGGGTTTCAGGTAAGACTTATAATTTGACATATTATATGAAAAATAATATAGGTATTACCTGGCATTTGAATATATAGAAAAGAACATAAGCTACATTTTATACAGGGTCAATTAATCTAACTTAGCTCAATGAGTCCAAAAACCGTCGCAATATAAAATTTAACGAATTATAGTTAATGTCTATAAATAAATAATATAATATATGTCGGTGGCTATTTCTCCATTACCTAATAATGAAAGAAAGAGAAATATATTTATTTGGCGCATACAATCTACAAAGCAAACATTCTTTGTAATACTGCTATAGTGGCAAACAAGCATACGGCCCATCCGATGGTAAATTGTTATCATAGCCTAAGGACGCGTGAAAAACCAAGGGTGTTACGTGCGCGTTGCCAATTTATTTGCTTTGTACATTCACAGAGTGTTGCATATCAAATAATATAGTTTTTACAAAACATGACATTACAAATATTACACTGATCTGCAAGTCAAGAGGGATTTGATAAGTTCTGTCTGCCTGTCACATCATAACTCCTAAACAGACGGATCTATTTAGTTGCGATTATTTTATGATTTTACCTAGTTTTAATTTATTAGTATACAGACGTTTGGAGACTATTGTGTTATTCTATTATAAATAGGGGATTATGAAATATTTAATTTCATCATATTTGTATTGAAGGTATGATATTTATAAATAGAGGTATCATATCCTGCCACTTGCTTATGAAACTAATTACTGTCAGGAAGGATAAATGCGAAATACTCTTTTTCCCAATACGACCTTTAACCGACACGCGATCGTTCAAAAACAATAAGATGCGACTTTATTACATAATGTTGACACCGTATACAAGAATAATTATCTCAAACTAGTATATTCGTAGATACTATTTAGTATACCTAATCGTATATTTTTAGAGGAGACATTATTATAAGTAGACTTAAGAAGTAAAAGGTCAACAGAGTACCTACGATGTTGCATCGCAGACATCAGCGTCCTTTAAAAAGAACTATATGTTACTCGTATTAAACAGAAATAATTCTCAATATTTTTGTATGTAGTTCTTACTCCAATTATAACGGATTCATATAAAACTGGATTGATTTAAACAGAATGTAGTTATATGTACATTATTACATCGATGACATCTAAAACAGTTTTTGTCACTCAGAGGTCGACTGCGAACTACGGCACTGGGTTTTAGTATATAAAAGAACCTCCTTACTGCTGAAGTAAGTTAAGGAACTACGTATATGAAATTTTAAATTTTAAATTATTTTTCGATTTACAAAATTAACAAAAAAAATTGTGCATATTAGATTACATCTTGTTTTTATCACCAGAGTATTAGTTTTATTCTTGTGCTGCCACCAGTTACAAACTATTTTTTTTCTTACATAGTGTCATTAGTTTACCACCCAGTCTACAGATTCAGAAAAAATGTACAGTTTGAAACTGGCCGGAAGATAAATTTTGCTAATACATAAATTTCACAATTAGTGTAGTCAATTAAAATTACTTACTTAATGTATTGGATGATTCAATAGCTATTGCCTGAGTTATATAGAAGCATGTGATTAATCGAAAAAATGTAGCTATTAAAGGTTTAATCACGTAATTTTTAATTGACGCACCATTAAGGGAATATTCCATTTAAAGTCACTTATTGTTGTAATAATTTAATTTATTAATTATAATTATGGAAATTATTTGATGGAAATATCCAAAAGGAATCGGCCCAAATATGTGTGTCAATACTCATTATTAATGATCGAATTGTATGTTCAACTTATTTCTAAAAAATCAGGAGAATATATTTTATTTAATACTTTTGATTCCATAATACTACTATTACTTTTGAAATTATTAAAGTATTCTGTTCTTTGTAAATACAAGTATAATAATTATGGTGTAACATCGCAATAATATTATCATCAGTCCGTCTAAATTATATGAAGCATTAGGGTCTATTGAAGTGAACCTTCCACACAGTTATAATGGTTTTCTTAACGTATTATGGAAAAGGCTTCGTCACACTATTATTGTCCCTTACTGGAATTGCGTGTAATGTATTTTCAACAGACTTAACCGTAGTTCCCAGTTTTATATTTTCGTATGTAAATAACTTTAAATCTTCAATAAATGCATTCCGTTGTAAAACCTAGTGGGACATTAAACATAATTCCCCTCTGATTCATATATCTAGAAAGAATAATCTCTCGAAAACCACTCTGAGCTTCATTTCGCCTATTTCAACCTATAAGCAGATTATTTTGTAAGCCACATATTGGTTTAAAAAGTGAGTTATTGCTGTGAATAGAATAGAATAGAATAGAAAATCATTTATTCAAATAAACGTACATTGAAGCATTTTTGAATAGTCATCACATTTTTTTTTAATCTACCGCTCTTTCGGAAAGCTTTCTCATCACAAGAAGAACGAGCAAGAAACTTGTGTTACTCTTTTAAATAATTTTATTCTTACTTTACAATTTAAGTTTAAGTGTGTGAATACAAACTACCGATTAGCACTAATTCAATTAAATAATCTACTAGCGACCTGATAAACAAGATAGGTTATGATTATCAATCTGTTGGACCAAAAGCTTGTTTGTCATTCCAAACGGTTTCTAAAAAGAAAGGTACTTAATATTATATTAAATTTCATCATAACAGTATATTAGTTAAAATAGGTTTATAATGTTTTTTTAGCTTTGGTACCTACCTGTTTTTGAGCCAAGTGAGTAGATAAATATATTAGTCATAGTTATAATTTCAACGATTACGAGTAATTATTTAGTTTTTTATAATACCTCAGTTGTGGTTGTTGTTTATCTACTTCAATAATTCTGCTCTTTGTTATGTTTTCAGATTTTTATTTCTTTATAAATGAAAACCCGTTCCATTATATCTTATATTTGATTAATTAGTATTTTTTTCCGTCTTCTGAAACAAGGAACTGGCCAGTGTGTTACTCTATATCTGCCAATATCAAACACCTTTTATTTTTTTAGGTATTCGGAATTTTTATGGTACACTTACTAATACACGTGAAGATTGGCAAATTCATATTATAAAAAGAGTAACACAATCAGTTGAAGATTAAAAATTGAATCGTCTTAGCGTAAATACCAAAAAAATCTATTAGGTATTGATTTTCCAACCACTTTTAATAGGACTTCCTCTTGTTAAAATTGTTTGAATAAGAACAAATATTTTGTGATCATAACACCACGTTATTCAAATTAAATATAATAAGGCAATTTGTGTCCACGCCGCATGGACGGGTTACGTGACAAGTGATGGGCGTGATTGCAATTCAATGATGGGTTACAGTATAGGTACTACGTAGCTCGCCGTATAATTTCTATGAGTAGTTGTTAGATCTGACTTTGTACATCGAATAAACAGCACTGGAAAATTGGCAGATTTGTAGCAACCTATATTCTTTTAATGGATGATAATGGAAGGATTGGTGCAACCACCAATTGGTTTATTATAAGATGAGAATGAGGGTAAATCAATTAGTCTATAATAGCAAATTCACCAGAAATTTATCTAGTTTGTTTTCAGGGGGAACCGCATGGACGTTAATCCAATATAGTACATTACTATCAATAGGGAAATCTACATTTACAACATTATTCTTCCCCCTTCAGCAACTTATGTTACAGATCTTTGGAATTTAATCCATAAACTTGTAACTCCAAGGAAGGTAAGTGGTGAGAAAATATGAAGAAATTGCATTGAAAACAACAATTTTATTTTCCCATACAAACTGTTCATGCCTGTCAAATAGGGTTCGTTCAGAAATTGGTCAGTAACTAAATTTCGTGGCGGCACGATGTTCGTGGGGTCAGCTAGTATTAGATAAAAGATAGGGACCTTGAGTTGTCACTTGAGGGACACATTCACATTATTATTATTATTACATAGTATGAAACAAAATCGCTGTCGCTGTCTGTCCGTCCCTATGTATGCTTAAATCTTTAAAACTACGCAACAGATTTTTTTAATAGATAGAGTCATTCAAGAGGAAGGTTTATATACATATATATATATATATATATATATATAATACATACACACCCGTGCGAAGCCGAGGTGGGTCGCTAGTTATTTATATACATTAGAGTAGGCAAATATTTAAACTCATGAACCCAAAAGTCCACTATACCGTAATATTATTTTACAAACAATCAGAGAAACAAACGCGAATATTTTTTAATAAAATAGAAAGTGTACATAATAATAACACATAAATCTCAGGACAATTCACACAGCGCCATCTAGTCCCAAGCTAAGTAGAGCTAGTGTTATGAGTACTAGACAACTGATAAATACATGGATACATTTTTTTTTAATAAATTCATATTATGCATAGAACAACACCCAGACCGACACAAACAATCATACTTATGAATACAAATGTTTGTACCGTGCGAGGAATCGAACCCACGACCATCGAATAGTAAAGTGGTGTGCTGAACCACTAGACCACCGAGGCTGTCATAGGTAAATAATAATAATTATTAAATTTCATCTATTACAATGTTATACAATACTATGTATTATGTATTTCTCGAACTATTTCAATT